TTGTAGTATTTTATCCAGATGAGCTTCCCTTCAAAATCACCCCAGTATTTATAAAATGCTGCATTCTTTCAGAGTACCAGTGAACAAATATCGGTACTCGTGATTAAAATTGTACAATCCACTTGATATCGGTGCATCATCCCTAATTGTTAATAAACACAGAGGCAGTGTTAGTGCTGGTCTGAGATCAGCGTCTCCTGTGTCCGTCTGTTGCCGGGCAGAACCAGATCTACCTTTGAGTCCGAGGCTTCGTCCTACTTCTCCCGCAAACTCTCAGACTCACATTATCTTGACTTTTATTCGTTCTTGTCACGGCCCGATGTGTTTCTGCTCCTCCGACAGACGCTTTCTCTCTAGCGGGCCTCGTGGGACCCGCGGTCAGACGTTTCATTTCAGCTGGAAATAAAACCAGTGTAGGATCTTCCCAGAGTTCAGTGCTGGAGTTTGCAGCCACTCTCTCATTCTCCACGGTGTTTCCTCTGATTGGAGATCAGTCGATGACATTACTGTAGACGCACTTGAATTCGATTCTCCAGTGTTTCCCCCTCCTCGAGAAAAGCTCTGGGGACTGCGGTTTATCTGTGTGGACGCTCAGAAATGTTAAGCTAGACATTGCTGTGAGTTTAATCACGATGGGTTTGTTTATTTGGTCTGTTGTTTTTCTGTATGGGGTGTATTAAATTAAGATATCATAGTTCTTTGTATGGGAAATATAGATACCGTGAAAGTCCATTTAATTGTAAGTATTTATCAACTAAGTTATTGTACTTTTGCAATTTGTAGATAAGTAATATAATGTATTGGTATATAACGATGAAATTAACTGTATCAGTCAGTCCGGGGCGTCCTTTAATTTATTGATGTATATACTGTATGTTTGTTGATATACAGCTCACTTTATTTTGTATATGACTAATAAATACGTTTTGAAAAGCAGACGCTTGTGTGTGTGTGTGTGTGTGTGTGTGTGTGTGTGTGTGTGTGTGTGTGTGTGTGATGGCATTAGTGAGCTGATTTAACATGCATGAGACATATTCCTGAATTGAAAGCTGTTTTTTTGGAATAGCTTCGCCACATTTTATTTTATTTTTTCATTTATTATTTTTTTCCATGGACCCTGAAAAGAGACGAGAGCGAGAGGAGAAGGAAAGGTAGCGGCTGACCTAGTTTGAGCAGCTCTCGGCGGGCGTATTTTTGGCCTGACATTAGTAAAACATGACAGAGTCATGAGGGACGCGGAGGTGCTGTACATCTGTGTTTACTGTCTGACCGTCTCTGATGTCACTTCCTGAAGAGCAGCCAATCCCTCATCACCGTCCTGAAGGCCACAGAAAGCACTGCTTTAATCTGATGTTGGGTTTTATAGTTCTCATTTCCAGGCCATCAAAATCAACAGTTTGTTTTTTTAATAAGTCATCAGTGATCCTGACCCATATATGAACACACAATCACTCTACTGAAATGATATCAAATATCATCATGCTCTCATTTCTTACTCAGTTTTTTATTACTTCTGTTCAGTCATCTTAATAAAAATAAAAGCTTTAGGATCAACTAATACTAACTGCTCTTCTAGTTGATGATTTGGCATCAGAAGTGTCTCTATGAAAGGTGAAGGCCTCTAGATTTTGCTGATTTGAGCTCAATAAATCTGATCATGTCTTGATGTTGACTGATTTGATGAGGACAGTGCGCTCTAACTCTGCTCAGACTAAAGTGTCATCACTGAACAGAAATAATGTCCAGTATAGAATATAAAGTCCTGCTGCAGTGGAGACAGAATGAATATTGTGTCTGACTCCATCATGAGCTTGGAGGACTGCATCCATACATCTCTGACATGACTCACATCACTGATTAATAAAGTCATCTGGAATGAAGAAGAAAGCCTTCAGCAGGATCCCAGAGTTCATCAAGAGTCTTTGTGTTCATCTTCAACACCTCCTCCTTCATCAGCTCAATAATGTTGATGTCTGGGGACTGGGCTGGCCAATCCTGGAGCAGCTTGACCTTCAGGAGCTTTGATGTGGAGGCTGAAGTATGAGCAGGAGCGCTATCCTGCTGGAGAATTGTCCCTCTCCTGTGGTTTGTAATGTAATGGGCAGCACAGATGTCTTGATACCTCAGGCTGTTGATGTTGCAGATCTCTCCATACTGAATGAACCCCAAACCATGATGTCTCCTTCACCAAACTTGACTGATTTCTGTAAGAATCTTGGTCCATGCTGGTTCCAGTAGGTCTTCTGCAGTATTGGTGATGATTGGGATGCAGATCAGCAGATGATCCAGCAGAGAAATCCACCTTCTGACACTCTTACACATCATCAACTAGAAGACCAGTTACTATCTGCTGCTCTTACAGCCGAGATTTACAGCAAGACTTCTGTCAGGTGTAGCCAGCGTATAGAATTATTATTGCTAGATCTCTTGTGAAATTTCCCAGGTGATGCTGAACAGGGTACAGTGCTTTTGAGGGTATTTCCAGTTTTCCTTCTGGAGA